GGGGGAGCCAGGAGAAACTCTGGAAGAAGGCTCTTCCTCCAGGGTGGGGACAGACTTTGAAAAACTACAAGAGGGTGCCTCTGGCAGGACCCTCCCTGGCAATGGCAAGATGTCCAGGTAAGTTCCAGCAACCTCACCCTGCTTGGGCAGCTGGGCTCTGGGAGGACTCCCAGTAACACCCAGAGGCTTTTTCACATCCTTTCCGGGGACGATCTGGACCACCCCCTGTGCGAGGACTGTGCTGACAGCCTTTTGGAGCAGCCGGACACATGGCTCACTATCTCAGAATCTGAGAGTGAGACCTACAGACACTGCCTGGGGACCAGGAGAGGAGAGGAAGACACGCAGGGGGAGCTGAAGGGCTGAAGGACGTGGACTGGTGGAAAGGCAGTTCCACAGGGACTACAGTCAACGGCAATGGCAACAGCTGGAACTGCATGAGGAGCGGAGGAGCGTGGAGAGCTGGCTGGGCTGCGGTACACCCAGACCCGTTAGCCTGGCTGGAGAACACCAACGCCTTCGGGTCAGGTCAACGTTTGCAATCCGTCGTGACAGCCCCTTGCCGGTCATGGGTAACTTCAGGCTGGGCTGCATCCCCGGTCTGTGTGCTGGATGAGATCAGCGCAGCCTGGGGGCAGACGGCCTTGCTGCTCCTGGCGCTAACGCAGTTGGTCTGGAGTGTCAGGGGTATCCACTCGTTCCCTGTGGAAACCATTCCCGTCTGAAGTCATCAACAGAGGCCCCCATTGAACTGCCCTTGTTCCGGGCCCGAGGGCAGAGCGCTCGCTTGTACCACAAGTTGGGCCGCGATGATGGCTTTCCCGGACTGCATGCAGCAATTCAAGGAAGAAGCTGGGAAAGGCGAGCCGGGTCTCCACAGGCCCTGCAGGATCCACGTGACAGGAGACCCCGGAGCCAGCGCTGCATCCTAGTCCATAGAACCCACTGGAACACGGAGGAGCTGGACAAAGGCACCAAGCTCATGCTTACGGATTTTAAGTGGCGTCTCGCTTGAGTCTCCTTAAAGTATCTTCACAAATAACTTTTTTTTTCTATGAGGGAGAGGGGTATTTTTGTACTTTACAATATTTTATTTGTGAAAGTCTTATCAGACCAATTGTAAAATTGAACAATATAGCAGGTTTATAACTTTAATGATAAATGACCATCCGGACATTAATCGAAGAGGAATGAAAGAACTGCCCAGAGCAAACCAAAGCCATGGCCATCCTCCCCAGCACAACTTGCCTCCCTTGTACCTTCCCCCGCCCTCTTCCCTAGACCAACAGATTCAAACTCAAAATGACAGCAAAGATGAAATGACAAGTGATGGAATAAAGGGTTGTAGAGGGAAGGAACTGAGGGTGGGCATGAGAGGAGAAGGCGGGTAAAGAGAAAGGTGGAAGTCTTCATTTTTTTAAAATGAGAAATGAAGGTAATTGGGCCACTGGGTGCATGTAGTAGGACTTTGGGAGAAGGTATATTCAAAGATTGTGAAGTTTTTTGCTGTGATGTATAGTGTCAACCTTGCTCCCCCTTCATCTCTGAGGAACTTTAAATAAATTTCTACATATTCTTCAATTAAAAAATAAATAATATAAAATCTTCAGTTTTTCAAATAGTTGATTTGTTTCAATCCATCGCACTTATTATTGTTGGTCAAATTACCCCATATTTCTCCATGGGGGGGGGGGGGCTTTTTATTGGCCCCTGTGTTCCTGTCATATGTGCCCCGTAGTCCTTGTCACTGCCTTGCTGTCTGTGATAACAAGAAGCTCCAGGCTCATCTTACACATTCTCTGCCCCAGACATAGACCAGCCATTTCTCTATGGACCCCTGGTTCCTTTCAGTGGAAATGATACTTATAGTCCACAGTGAGGGTGCTCTTACTACAGGGTGTATTGTATCTATGAATATTCAGTGAATAAAGCAAGAATATATGCATTTTTTAACAATTTTTGTGCTAAAATATACATAACACAAAATTTACTATTAACCATTTTTAACTGTACAGTTCAGTGGAATTAAATACATTCACATTGTTGTAAGCCATCACCACCATCCATTCCTATAACTATTTCATCTTAGAAAACTATACCTATTAAATACTAACTCCCCATGCTCTCATCACCCAGCCCCTAGCCACCACCACTCTACTCTCTGTCTGTATGTTTGGCTACTCTATGTACCTCATTTAAGTAGAATCACACAGTTTTTGTCCTTTTGTGACTGGTTTATTTCACTTAGCATAATGTCCTCTATGTAGTAGCATCTGTCAGAATTTCCTTATTTTTAAGGCTGAACAATATTCCATTGTATGTATAGACCACATTTTGTTTACTCACTCATCCATTGATAGACAACCTGGATTGTTTCCACCTTTTGGCTATTGGGAATAGTGCTGCATAGGTGTACACATAGGCATAAATAACTTTTTGTTGTGGGATCAAAGGAGGGAATGAGCATGTGGGTGCATGAATGAATGAGTGAATGAATGGTGCATACTCAGAGCACCCAGGCCTGGGATTTCTCCCACAGGACCCTATGGTGTGGCTTCTGCATCCTCCCTCCCTCCCCACGGCTTGCACTTGGGCCACTACAAACACACTGCCCCTTCTCTAGAAGGGCTCATACTTGTTTGTTTCACACGACTCCCAAGGTCTTCTTGACAAACAGGAAGTGCACGCTGGTGTCCAGAAGTTTCTGAGCAGCACCAGTGGCATCACACAGACAGAACATCAGGGCAGCACTGGTGTCCTCTGCCTTCTCTCCTCTCTCTCAGTTCTCTGCTTCCTTCCTTTTCTCCCCTCCCCCTCCTCTTCACAAGCTAGGGTGGCAACTGCACAGTTGAAGTAAAGCCAGCAGCTGCTCGAAGGTGAGCATACAGCACAGAGAATTCCAGCAGCTGTGAGCTGGGAAGGGTCCTCATAAAGCATCCATGGTGTCCAGAAAGTTTCCCAGGGGACAATTGGGAGTGTGGGGCTGTGCTTGCCGGCCTACTCCTTGGCAGTCACTGGTTGGGGGTTGCTCATCAGGGACATGGGAAGGGGTGTTGCATTCTAGAGCCTTATGGCGGGGACAGAGGTAGGCAGGATAGGCAAGGTCTTTACACTACAGGTGTAGGCTCTGGTGGCAGAAGCCCTCAGCCAATGGGAAGCCAGCGATTGCAGGTAGAAGTCAGATCTGGCTCATCACTCACTCACTCATTCGTTCATTCATTTATTGCAGGCCTGACATTGTCTGCCCACAGCCTGGAGGGGATGTGCATGAGTGTCCAGGTTCTGGGCAAGCTTGATGGATGTGGGAGTGTCCCAAGATGCCCAACCCAGACAGGATGAAGTCAGAAGAACCTCAGGAGACTCTGTGCCTGAAAAGTACCTGAGGTCGGCCAACCAAAGAAGAGCAGAAATGGTGCCGCAGGCAGGGGAGTTTGGGATGGTGACAGGGCCTGGTCATGGGGCAACCCACAGGGTGGGACAGGGTATGGCCAGGCAGAGAGTGGTGACAGGAGAGGGTGAATGGTGGGTTGGCGAGGGGTGCTGGGCCTGGCCAGGGGGATGGGAGCTGTTGAAGAATAAGTTAGAAATGACACAGCCCTGAGCCCCAAACCTCAGCAAGTGGAGCCCATCCCAGGCCCACACTCAGGCTAACAAAGACCCACCCATCGCCCTGCCCCTGCCTCAGTTTATCGCCACACGGCCCTAGGAGAAGGGGGAACTGCATTCTAGACCTTCGTGGAGGGAAGGCCAGGCTATTGTCATATTGTCACATCTTCGGCACAAAGGTGGGGGGTGGCCCCGGCCCTCCCTGCCTGTAATGGCTTTCACTCTTGAGGCCCACAGATGTTCCTGGTGCACTCACCATGTGTCCCAGGCACCGCCCCAGGAATGAGGGGCCAGGGGTGGTCAGGATAGGCAGGGTCTTTGCCCTCCCAGGGCCAGAAATCCATGAACTGGTGACCTCTCAAAAAATGGCTCGTGATGGTAAATCACACTATCTCCAAATCCTTGTAGGAAATCCTCTGGCTAAATAGTCAGGCATCTCAAAGAGGATGGGAGAATTTTGTTATTGGCCCCTAATTTAAAGAGAGGGAAACTGAGGCACAGAGAGGGCAGGTAACCTGTCCTAGGTCATACAGCCAATGAGTGATGAAGTTAGGATTTGACCTCAGGCAGCCTGGCTTAGAACCCAGGTTCTTCACCAGGGAGCCAAGCTACCCCTGCTATTTCCACCCCCTTTGTGGGGATCCCCTCAGGGTTGAGGATACAGAGACGGCACAGGAAGTAGCTCTGCCTGAATTTATACCTCAGCTCTGCCTGTGTGAACACGGGCCAGTCACCCATTGTCTGTGCTTGTTTCCTCATCTGAGAAATGGACATGGCAGCCAGCTGATGGGGATTAACCAACATGGTCAGTGCCTGGTGCTTATGCTCCATAAATGGTGAGGCTGGTGTGGGCACACTTACACGCACAGGGAGGCCCTGGGTTCCAGCTGGGCTCCATCCCCAGGAGCACCCTGGAAGGTGCCTGGCTCCAGGACCAGCCCAAAGCCCTCCAGACCCCCGCTGTGCCCACATGCAGCCCCTGTTAAGACAGGAAGGAAGAACCCTGTAGAGACCCTGGAAGGGAAAGAGCCCAGCCAGGTACCTTCCCAGCTCTGGGAATTTTCTGAGCATCCACGATGGGTATTGGACCCAGCAAAAGCCAGGAAGGATTCTGCAAATCGGATGTTCCTCTTTGCGAAGGAGAATGCCAGGTGGTGAGGAGCTGCTGCTGCTGAACTCAAGCTGTACCAGGACCAAGACAGCCGTGCCTCAGAACAGACCCCAGGTGAATACACAGGCATCATAGCAGAGATGAGTGCCAGCCAGCAAGGCAAGGGCAGTCAGAGCAGGCAGCCCTGGGAATGATGGGTAGCCCAGGAAGGAGGAGGAGGGACGGGGCAGCAGGGGAGTGCAGGGAACACCACAGAATGCACAAGGGTCTTGAGGGAAAAGGGAGCTTGGTGCTTGAGAGGCTGGAACAGTGAGTGAGCCACGGCCTTGGTGAAGGCAGCATTCTCCCCACCATCTACCCAGCAGCACTCACTCCTGGCCAGGGTCACATGGTCGTCTAGGAGAGAGTGCACCTCAGACAGGACCCCATTCCTGCGATCACTTCCCTCCAGCCCTGCCTGTCTCCACCTTCCTCTCCTTCCAGCCCCTTTCTCTTTCTCCTCTGCTTCTATTATCTCTCCTCCCTCTCCACTCTTTCTGTTTCTTTACCTCCACCAAACCCACCCCCCCATGCCTCTCTCTCTCTCCCTCCCTCCCTCCCTCCCT